ACTCTTGCATTATATCGAACTCAAGTCCTTACTTTGTGTTAGTTTATTGGGTTGTTTTTTCGTGGGTTTTTGCAGCTCCCTTTGTTTGAAATCTTAAACAAATCCTCCTCTGAATTCCAAATCCTTCTCACCCAATTAGGATTTCTCACACTAGCATTAAGGATTTCTCACATTACCCTGATTATTTGCTCTAGCATTCAGTAACATTGTGGGTAAGAAACCATGTGACAGTGTAAGTAGGCAAAATAAAAATAATAATAAAGTTTAAGGTAATGTTACATTTAAAACTTAATTTATGGTTTATATTGTTTCAAGCTACATAAGATGATCTTGGTTAATCCTGTTAATTCTAGCATGAGTTGAAAGTATGGGGAGCTATTTGACCTGCAATGTGGCTGTGATTATGTGGATGAAGTTAACCAAAAATAATCTCCCTTTAGCTTTTTCTGTGTTACACATTATTCTTTATGATTTCTGGTTTTACGAGTTCTTATGTTATGACCTGTGGTGACTTAAACAAACATGCTTACATGATTCTTGTGCTATTTTTTATGTGAAATTGAACGGGTCAGCACTCTTGCATTATATCGAACTCAAGTCCTTACTTTGTGTTAGTTTATTGGGTTGTTTTTTGTGGGTTTTTGCAGCTCCCTTTGTTTGAAATCTTAAACAAATCCTCCTCTCAATTCCAAATCCTTCTCACCCAAAATGTAACCTAAGTGAACTTTCTACTTACAAAAGATTGGCAGGTTTAATTGAAACTAAAAGAAAGTGACAATTTTCACCTTTAGTAGTTGGAGAACAGGTTGATTTTGTGCTCTTAAATAATCTTTTGATTGCTAATATGTAATAACTGTTAAATCTCATTTATAGTTCAGTTTAAAAAACACAATAGAATATTCATTTTCTGAAAATATAATATTCCTTTTCACCTGCCAAATACAAAACACTAGGAAAATTAATACGACTTATTCATAACTCAAAGGTAGAACATACTGTTATCTTTGGATACTGAAACTTCTTTCCAACTTTAAATTTCAATTTGATGGTACTATTGATAGTTGCATTACTGAACTACAACAACAGGGTACAGTCAACAAGAGAGAACCTCTTTGTTGTTGTTGTTGTTGTGTACTGTAATTTGTGTTGCTATAGCTTCTTTGGATACTGAATTAATACGACTTATTCATAACTCAAAGGTAGAACATACTGTTATCTTTGGATACTGAAACATCTTTCCAACTTTAAATTGCAATTTGATGGTACTATTGATACTGAAAACAAGAGAGAAAATTAATACGACTTATTCATAACTCAAAGGTAGAACATACTGTTATCTTTGGATACTGAAACTTCTTTCCAACTTTAAATTGCAATTTGATGGTACTATTGATAGTTGCATTACTGAACTACAACAACAGGGTACAGTCAACAAGAGAGAACCTCTTTGTTGTTGTTGTTGTTGTGTCCTGTAATTTGTGTTGCTGTAGCCAGCAACCTCATATGCTTGATTTTGTAATATTTGCTGGTGTTAACTGAGATGAGAATAGCTCTTAACTCTTTGTTATTATTGTTATTTTGCAAGTGCAAAAACTACACTACTTGCCTTAACTCTTTGCTTGAAGACAATACTATCTATCATTAGGAAAGCTAGGCAGCCTGATGCCATAAGTTAGAAAAAAATCATTTTTGGGAATAATTTTAACAATTTTTTTCATCGTGAAGGATGATCCTATCGATGACAGGATATTAGACCTATTAATCCAAATTAGGTGGTCTCTAGATGGTCACCTCAATGGAATCCCAATTCGATTCGATGACAGAAACATTTGGAGGGAGATGGCAAGAATATTAAATGAAGAGCCGGACATTACGATCGAGGATTATCAGGTCTATGACAGAGCCAAATCCCTGAGGACACGATTTAGATGCAGGGTAAGTTCTTGCTGCACATTGTTTGTGTTTGAATTTTAAGATTATGCTTATCAGCAAACAATCAAAATTACAAAATTTAGAGTGTATAAAACATGGGTTTAGGGTTAAGCAGGAATAAAATAGGATTTTAGGTTTGAGGTTAAAATTGACTATCCTATCCTAAGTCTTCTTTTCGTGAAATTTTGCAGGGACTTATTTTAAACGACAAGATCAATCAAGCATTTGGTCCCTGCCGGGACTGTGGGAATGTTATGCAATTCCCCCGCCTATACCCCTCAGCTCAGAGGGCTGCATCCAATTCTCACTCATCGACGTCCAACTCTCGGCCCTCTGCAGTGGTCAATGATCTGGATGCGGCAAGAATAGCTGCGACAAGAATAAAAGACCTCATATTAAGCGGTGCGGTTTCATTTCCAGAGGGCATGAGGGCTTGCACATGGCTAGAGACGCACCACCTTGGAGCTCTTGAATTTGTGGACTTGCCGCACGATCGTCTCATCTCTGTGGTAAAGGATCAATCTTACC